TACAGCCTGCACGAAACAATGGTTTCATTTTCAGTCAGATGTTAGCTTGCTTTTTATCTCATGTTCTGTAATTCTAACTTTATTTACACACAGGACCCTCTTGCACTGTCCAGAAGGAGCAGGAGATAAGAAAATATAAATGAAACAATACACAATTAGGAAGTTTAAAGGAACACTGTAGGGTCAGGAACATAAACATCTATTCCTGACCCTAAAGTGTTAAAACCACCATTTAGCCCCCTCTAGCCCTAACTTTCACCTCTAAATATAGCAAAATCTTACCTTTAATCCAGTCTGCTTTTGGCTCTGTCCCTGATCTGCCTGCTTGGCTGACATCATCATAAGTGATTATCTCAGCCAATCACAATACTGTCACATAGGAAAGCATTGGATTGGCTGAGACTGTCAAGGAGGCAGATCAGGGGCAGAGCCAGCACAAGCCAAACACAGGCCTGGCCAATCAGCATTTCCTCATAGAGATGCATTGCATCAGTGCAGATCTATGAGGAGAGTTCAGTGTCTACTGTCACGTATTCATCCGCTTATAGAAATGTGGTTAATGACATTTACTGTCCACACAGGAAAAGTTGTGCCGAGCAGCAACCTAATCCACAGAAGGTTTAATGCTGAGCAGTAATTGTGCAAATGAAACCTGGTCTCATGTATTCATCCGCTTATAGAAAAGTGGTTAATGACATTTACTGTCCACACAGGAAAAGTTGTGCCGAGCAGCAACCTAATCCACAGAAGGGTTAATGCTGAGCAGCAATTATGCAAATGAAACCTGGTAAATGACTTTGGGGTCAAAGGCCGGTTACAGCCTATCAGAAGGAAAGGTGGGGTATTTAGGCCCAGTTCTCAGCCTGCTCAGTGCCCTGTCGTGGTTTCCCTTGTGGTTGTCCGAGAGCGCGTTCCTGTTTATAGTTTTCTACCTGGTTTTTGACTTTGGCTTTGTTTATTGACTTCTCTATATTCTGGTATCCTGACTCCTGGCTTTCCTCATCGCTGTGTCCCTTTCTGTGTTCCCTGACCTCAGCTAGTATTTTTGACTATTCTTTGTACGTTAAATCCGGCCATTCTAAGGACCGGTAATACGTTACTTATTTGTCATCCGTGCTGTACAGTTCTACGTGCTGGATCAAACAGTAATCCTGACATCTACATGCAGAGGGTGGAGACATTGAATGGCAGTCCAGAAAGAACCTCTAGCAGCCATCTGAGGAGTGGCCAGTGGAGGTGTCCTTAGGCTCTAATGTAAACACTGCATTTTCTCTGAAAACACAGTGTTTACTGCAAAAATATCATAAAGGGAATGATTATACTCTCCAGAACAAATACAATAAGCTGTAGTTGTTCTGGTGACTATAGTGTCCATTTAAATATTAGATCTTTACAGGGAGTGTAAAGATCTAAGACTGTGCGAGTCACAAGAAGGGAAGTGTGACTAGAGCTACATAAACAAAGCAATTCTCTAAATGGCAGAACACCGAGCAGCGGGACTGCAGGGGCATGATCTATACATTAAAACGGTTTCATTGAGTTAGTTCTTTTGGTGCCTGCAGTGACTCTTTAAGAAACACATAATTTTCCCTAATCCGAATCACCTATTTCACAATCTAAATTCATACCTTCCAACATTTCCAGTGGCACTTTAATTTTAGGGTTGTGAGTTGGGGTGTGATCAGGGGCAGAGTGTTCTGAGAAATTTGAGGGGACTTACTAATAACAATTTATGCAACTAAATGTAATTTAGAACAATGTTTCCTATTTGCACAGACGAATTTCCAAACACATGTATCGTAGTTCTAAGCCACATTACTTACCTACTTAGTTTTATTGCTGTTACACACTCAAACACGCCAACAATATAGATCTCCTAGATGGACAGGATAGTTAAGAGGAACAAAGGGATGTCGGTTCAAAATAGAGACTGTCCCTTCTAAAAAAAGGACAGTTGGGATATATGTAATTTGCATATATGTGAATATTTTACAGGCAGAATACTGAATGTTGACTCAGAAAACAGCCTTCTAAACAGTGCTCTGTATACAATGTGTACAAATTGTACAGGGTGCCAAAGAGCCTCAAAGTAGACCATTTAATTAGCTCATTAAGACATTATTATTATTTTTGTCATTTATATAGTGCCAACAGATTCCGTTGCACTTTACAATATTATGAGAGTGGGGATTTAAATATAAATAGGACAATTACAAGACAACTTACAGGACCGATAGGTTGAAGAGGGCCCTGCTCAAACAAGCTTACATTCTATAGGAGGTGGTGTGTAAAACACAATAGGACAGAAATTCGCAATCAAATAAGGTGGGAGTGAAGCAGAACTGGAGGAGAGCGGAGAGAGCTGTCCTTTAGGAGAGAGCAAGAGACAGGTATGTAAGGTAGAGGTTACTCTGGGAGGCCATAATTTTTCCTAAAGAGATGGGGTTTAAGGCACTTCTTAAAAGATGCAAGACTAGGGGAGAGTCTGATGGCAGTAGGCAGTCTATTCCATAGGAAGGGAGCCACCCGCGAGAAGTCCTGCAAACGTGAGTTGACCATACGGGTGCGAACAACGGACAAGAGAAGGTCACGGGCAGAGCGGAGAGACCGAGAAGGGACATACCTATGGACCTGTGATGAGATATAAGGGACTAGAATTGTTCAGTGCTTTATAGGTGTGAATAAGTACCTTGAATTGACTCCTAAGGAATACAGGAAGCCAATGTAAGGACTGGCAGAGGGGAGATGTGTGAGAGAACCGACTGGAGAGGAAAATCAGTCTGGCAGCAGCATTCATTACCGACTGTGGTGGAGCAGTATGGTTTTTGGGAAGACCAATCAGGAGAGGGTTACAATAATCCATGCGGGAAATTACTAGAAACATAGAATGTGACGGCTGATAAGAACCATTCGGCCCATCTAGTCTGCCCAATTTTCTAAATACTTTCATTAGTCCCTGGCCTTATCTTATAGTTAGGATAACGTTATGCCTATCCCATGCATGCTTAAACTCCTTTACTGTGTTAACCTCTACCACTTCAGCTGGAAGGCTATTCCATGCATCCACTACCCTCTCAGTAAAGTAATACTTCCTGATATTATTTTTAAACCTTTGTTCCTCTAATTTAAGACTATGTCCTCTTGTTGTGGTAGTTTTTCTTCTTTTAAATATAGTCTCCTCCTTTACTGTGTTGATTCCCTTTATATATTTAAATGTTTCTATCCTATCCCCCCTGTCTCGTCTTTTCTCCAAGCTAAGTGTTAAGATCCTTTAACCTTTCCTGGTAAGTTTTATCCCGCAATCCATGAACCAGTTTAGTAGCCCTTCTCTGAACCCTATCTAAGGTATCAATATCCTTCTGAAGATACGGTCTCCAGTACTGCGTACAATACTCCAAGTGAGGTCTCACCAGTGTTCTGTACAATGGCATGAGCACTTCTCTCTTTCTACTGCTAATACCTCTCCCTATACAACCAAGCATTCTGCTAGCATTTCCTGCTGCTCTATTACATTGTCTGCCTACCTTTAAGTCATCAGAAATAATCACCCCTAAATCCCTTTCCTCATATGTTGAGGTTTGGACTCTATCAAATATTCTGTACTCTGCCCTTGGGTTTTTACGTCCAAGATGCATTATCTTGCACTTATCCACATTAAATGTCAGTTGCCACAATTCTGACCATTTTTCTAGTTTACCTAAATCATTTGTCATTTGGCTTATCCCTCCTGGAACATCAACCCTGTTACATATCTTAGTATCATCAGCAAAAAGACAAACCTTACCATCAAGACCTTCTGCAATATCACTAATAAACATATTAAAGAGAATGGGTCCAAGTACAGATCCCTGAGGTACCCCACTGGTGACAAGTCCAAGCTTCGAATATATTCCATTAACTACAACCCTCTGTTGCCTGTCACTCAGCCACTGCCTTACCCATTCAACAATATTGGAATCCAAACTTAAAGATTGCAGTTTATTGATAAGCCTTCTATGTGCAACAGTGTCAAAAGCCTTACTGAAATCTAGGTAAGCAATGTCTACTGCACCACCCTGATCTATAATTTTAGTTACCCAATCAAAAAAATCAATAAGGTTAGTTTGGCATGATCTCCCTGAAGTAAACCCATGTTGTCTCTGATCTTGAAATCCATGTGTTTTTAGATGTTCAACAATCCTATCCTTTAACGTGGTTTCCATCACTTTCCCCACTACTGAAGTAAGGCTTACTGGCCTATAGTTGCATGACTCATCCCTATTACCTTTCTTGTAAATGGGCACAACATTCGCTAACTTCCAGTCTTTTGGGACTACTCCTATTAACAATGATTGGTTAAATAAATAACTAATCATAGAGTACGGACAAGCTCCTTGGTAGCATCTTGTGTAAGAAAGGGGCGGATGCGGGATGTTTTTAAGATGGAATCTACAGGATTTGGATGAGGCTCAAATGTGATGCCAGAATCAAGTATGACGAAAAGACAGTGCGCTTGTAAGGATGGTCTTATGTGAATACCACTAACTTGAAGGGAGCATGAAATAGGACGATCAGTGTTAATAATAGGAAAGACAAGGAGCTCAGTTTCACAGAGATTGAGTTTCAGAAAGCAGGAGGACATCCAGTCAGAGCTGGAAGAAAGGCAAGCAGTGACACGTTGCAGGACAGCAAAATAAGAAGTTACATTAAAATAACTTACATTGCTGAGTCACAACCCATGACAGATCACACTATTTTTTATTATTATTGTTTTAATTGTACTACAGAGCTTGAAATAAAACATTTACCTTAAACCTTAAACAGGGCATGATATGTCATTATTGTGTCAGGCATTAATTCCCTAAACTAAAAGACTGTGACATGACCCATAGTAGGTTCCATATCAGAATGGTTCATAGTGAAGATCATCTGTCACTATTCCCAGCCATCAAAGAGCTACTGCAGTACCACCTCCTGCCTGCAGGCGTCAAAATGTATTTGCATTTCCAAAGAAATGTGTCCTCTGACCGGACACCGTAGTTACGTCACTGGCCGTACCAGATGATCCAATATGGTGGCACCCAGGCGTGTAAACACGTGTATGTTTCAGTGACACTGTTGTACTGAAGATTATACAGCAGTGCGATCGTACCGGCGGGCATTGCCTGATTTACGGATCTGAGGCGATTTGTTTTGCTCGCCGCCGCCATGTCCGTCAGAAACAACAACAAGCTGCCCACCAACCTGCCGCAGCTGCAGAACCTCATCAAGAGAGACTCGGAGTCTTACACGGAGGAGGTGAGCCCTAGCCCTCCATAAATCACCTTTTACACTAAATCACTACTCTAGGAGTCCCCACTGGAGCTGCCTGCTTCCCTGTGCTTTATAGACACGTGTAATTCCTGCTAATGGACAGTAAATTAGGAATGCTGCCCTGTGGCCGTGTGACTCCTGTGTGACAGTTCCTATTTAATGATTATGGGTTTGTTAAAAAGCAGAAACCGCTAATATGAGTACTGGTTCTTTACATTCATACTTCAGTGGCACAGCTTAATGGAAATAAATCTCAAACTTTTGGAATACAAAGATCTGTTCCTAATTTTAGTGTTTTCCTATCAATTCCGATTTAAAGGGACACTATAGTATAGACCAGGAATGGCCAAAAGGTAGATCCCCAGATGTTGCAGAATTACAACTTCCATGATGCTTTGCATGTCTTTAGAATGACAAAGCATCGTTGTTGTTTTAAAACCTCTGGAGATCTACCTTTTGGGCACCCCTGGTATTGACAGTCCCTGCAGGCATTTTCACGCAAACACTTTTTTTTTCACAGAAAAAGCAGTGTTTACATTAAAGACTTGGGACACCTCCAGTGGCCACTCCTCAGATTGTCACTGGAGGTGCTTCCTGGGGCAGTGCCGTACAGTATGCAACACTGCCGTTCAGCATCTCCACACTCTGCATGGAGATGCTGAACTTTCCTAATAGAGATGCATTGATTCAATGCATTTCTATGAGGAGATGCTTAAAGACGGCACTGTCATGCCGAACTTAACTTTCCTCAATCTCTTCCTCTTCTCCCCCTCTCTCAGGATCTGTTATTCTTTTCTTCCTGTCTTCTTTAGTTTTATTTAAAATCATAAGACAAAGTAGGGACTCTTTGCCTCATGGAGGATTCCTCCGCCTGACCAGCGGAGGAGCAAAGTGTGCTTCATTTCCGCGGGTCAGAGCAATTTTCCCATGATCCTTACCTTCCCTCTGTGTTCCCACAATGCTTCCTGTCACTTTACACAAAACTGCCGAATTGCGTTCTAACTGAATGAGAACAGTATGTTCGTTTCTTTTAGAACGCAATTCGGCATTTTATTCGGATCGGAATTTCATTCTAATGAAGGAAACGCCGATCCTATTCGTGCTGTGGCTGCATCTTGCAGCCGCTTAGTAGATAACTCCCTAATTCCCACGGTATCAGGGAGCTATCTACTAAAAGACCTAAATTGGTCTTTCAGCCAACTTTGCTAATACTAAGTAAAGATTACTTAGTATTAGTAAATGAAATGCCCCTACTCGCTATACCGCGAGTAGGGGCATGTGTAGTAAGCAGTGAGCAGCGAGCAGCTTATAGCTGCTCACTGTAAAAAAAAAAAAAAAACGAATTAAACCCCCATGCCCGTGGGGGCCCTAAATAAAGATATGGGGGGGAACTCTTGCGGGTGGGTGGGGCCCTAATAAAACAATAAGGGGGTACTGTCCTCCCTTATGGGTGGGGGCCCTAATAAAACAATAAGGGGGGACCTACTGTCCTCCCCTCCTGACCCCCATCCCTGGCGTTGGGTGGGGCCCTAAATCACCCCCAATCAAGGTGACTAGGGGTCCCAAGCCCCTAGTCACCCCCCCACCCCAAAAAAAACCTATCCCCTACCTACCCCCCTCACCCTAAAAATAGTGAGGGGGGAATAAAATAACTAACCTGTAAAAAAAAAAAAAAAAATTAAACTTACCATTTGATGTCTTCTTTTTTCTAAAATCTTCTTTCTTCAGCCCCCAAAAAGGCCAAATAAAAATCCATCATACCCGTCATAAGTTTAATTTTTTTTTTACAGGTTAGTTATTCAGGGGTGGGGGCCAGGGGGGGAGGACAGTAGGTCGTCCCCCCCTTATTGTTTTATTAGGGCCCCCACCCACCGCGCAGGGGTGGGTGCCAGGAGGGGAGGAAGTAGGTCCCCCCCCCCTTATTGTTTTCTAAGGGTCCCCACCCACCGCTCAGGGGTGGGGGCCGGGGGGGGAGGACAGTAGGTCCCCCCCTTATTGTTTTATTAGGGCCCCCACCCACCGCTCAGGGGTGGGGGCCGGGGGGGAGGACAGTAGGTCCCCCCCCTTATTGTTTTATTAGGGCCTCCACCCACCGCTCAGGGGTGGGGGCCAGGGGGGGAGGACAGTAGGTCCCCCCCCCTTATTGTTTTATTAGGGCCCCCACCCACCGCTCAGGGGTGGGGGCCGGGGGGGAGGACAGTAGGTCCCCCCCTTATTGTTTTATAAGTGCCCCCACCCACCGCTCAGGGGTGGGGGCTGGGGGGGAGGACAGTAGGTCCCCCCCCTTATTGTTTTATAAGGGTCCCCACCCACCGCTCAGGGGTGGGGGCCGGGGGGGAGGACAGTAGGTCCCCCCCTTATTGTTTTATAAGGGTCCCCACCCACCGCTCAGGGGTGGGGGCCGGGGGGGAGGACAGTAGGTCCCCCCCTTATTGTTTTATTAGGGCCCTCACCCACCGCGTAGGGGTGGGGGCCAGGGGGGGAGGAAGTAGGTCCCCCCCCCTTATTGTTTTATTAGGGCCCCCACCCACCGCTCAGGGGTGGGGGCCGGGGGGGGGAGGACAGTAGGTCCCCCCCCTTATCGTTTTATAAGGGCACCCACCCACCGCGCAGGGGTGGGGGCCAGGGGGGAGGACAGGTACCTGTGTTTTGTTGGTGCCCCCACCCACCCGGCTCTGGGGTGGGGGCCAGAGGAGGACAGTAGGCCCCACATTATCTTCATGGCCCCCACCCGCCGCTCAGGGTGGGGAGGGGGGAGGACAATAGGTCCGCCCCCCCCTTATTGTAATTTGTCATTTTTTTTCAACAGTGAGCAGCCACAGGCGAGTAGGGGCATTTGGGAGATTTGAATCTCCCTTGTGCTATTATGGGGGTCATATTGACCCCCATAGAGTGAGAGGGGGACCTGGGGGGGCTTATGAAGTGGCGGGGAGCACTGCTCCCTGCCGCTTCTATCGTTACATATTACAAGGAGGGAGCTGCACGCCGGTAGCTCCCTCCTTGTAATAAACTGAACGAATAAACTAACACTGATACATAGTGTTAGTTTGTTTGGCTGATCTTTCTATTCACTCATTTGTCTGTCTGATGAATGAATGAATAGATGAAATTCCCGTTCGCATGTCCAGGTGTTTCACTGGGCATGTGCGGGAATCTCACAGTCTATCTAGTGTGGGCTGATGACGTGTCCCACAGGGACTTCATCTACCCACACAAAGATGGCGGCGCCCTGAATCAAGATCGGGGCAGAAAATAAGGATTAAAAAATAGGTAATGTGGGGGGCTTAGGGGCATTTGGGGGTGACTAGTGGGTCAATTGGATGTAGTGGAGGCGGGAGGGGGGTTAAAAAAAAAAAACGGGATTCGGCATGACAGTGCCGCTTTAAAGGCCTGGCCAGTGTTTGGCCCTGCTCCCACTCTCCTTGTCAATCGCAGCCAATCCAATGCCTTCCCCAATGGAAAGCATTGGATTGTCTGACATTGTCATTTCTGATGTCCACCAAAGAGGGGGATTGGGGGTAGGGTCAGCGCTGGCTGACCTGAGCAGCACTGGAAAAAAGTATGTTTTAACATACTTAAGTATGCTTTCTAGGAGGGCTGAGGGGGAGCACCTAAACAATCGTTTTAACACTATAGGGTCAGGTATACATGTTTGTGTTCCTGACCCTATAGTGTTCCTTTAACAAGTTAGTTTAACTCACCTTTAGTCTCCCAGCAAGTCAGTCTTTCACAGCCATCTCCCCTGGCTAAGATCATTACAGATGATTTTAGCCAATCGATTGCATTCCCTTAGGGAAGCATTGGCTGGCTTTCATGCATACATATCTATAGTGAGTATTCAATGTCGTCATGCAGAGCGTGAAGATTCTGAACACCGGGATTACACCTAGAAGGTCTTCTAGTGGCTGTCTGTTTGATAGTCACTAGAGGTGACACTGTTTTTTCTCAGAATAGGCAATGTTTACTTTGAGGCTTCATGGATAGTCTCTTTACAGCAGAATCACTGTGCCATGCTGTTAAACTTGCAGAAAGAACATATTCAAGTTTGGAATTGACATAGGTATTACATTTTGTGGACCAAAAAGGTTGAGCTGACAAGATAGTGAATTTGACATTTTCAAGCTCAGTTGTTGTAGGTTTAAATTCGGAATAATTAAAGAGGAACTTACTTCCTGAGTGACGGTGTTAACCCATGACATCTTGGGTGCACTCTTGCTAGCTAGAGCATTTGCAGGGACATTAAGTACGAGCACATGCTTATGAAACTGCTGGAAAAAATGCTGAACATGTATTATGCATATAGAACTGCTTGGTGTAACTAATCTGCATGCTGTGTGTAGTGTGATACAAAAAAAAATCTCTAATGAATAAAAAAAAAAAGGTATTTTTTTTGTTGGATATTTGCTTGTTCTAAGAATTTGAAAGCTACAATCCTCCGTAAGGAGTTAAAAATGTACTTAAATTGTCTCCCTCGCGGTACTCTCTCTGCGGCTGATCCTACCTCCTTGTCTGAGATTGTCAATTTTAATGATCTCAGCCAATCCAATGATGCTTTATTCAGATGGTTGGCAATTTCAACAGAGGCACCTCTAGTGGCTCTCAGTGTATAGCCTTTAGAGGCATTTTAACCTCCCCTTTTTTTTTTTTTTTAACCAATTCCTCCAGAAGTAGGCTAGGTGTGCATAGTGTCTTTTTTTTAATGTAGCGATTTTAATATATTGGTCATCAATTCTCTGCTGTGTAGAAGTTAAACCACCTTGTTTATGCAGCTCTTGCAACTCTTCCTATGGCAAGCAAGGTGCCTGTAGGTAGGTGACTGCTTAGGAGGAAAGAAACACCAGTCCTGCCAATGGAAGCAGGTGCTAGAGCGAGAGCCCCCTTCCTTGGCCCGGGGCTCAGTCTCTCACTGAACGGAACCCTCTTATGAGGGGGACCTGGGGAGGACCACCCCCCTCGCCCTCTCTCAGTAAGCCACTCCCTCCATTGTTTTACCTTTCATTTGCGATGTTGTACAATTATGTCATCAATTTAAATATGTTCTTATTGTTTTTGTTTTTGTAGTTTTTACAACAGTATAATCACTACTTGTCCAATGTCGAGATCTTCAAGCTGCAGCCTGATAAATCCAACAAGGAGTTGTCTACATTGGTCATGTTCATGGCACAGGTGAGTTTCTGCTGAACACAATAGTTTATATTTATCAAAGTGTTCTGAAAAGTGACTATTACATTCTACAATTATTTTGATGGTGTTTTAAAAAGTGATCTAAAAAGTGATGGTCTCCTTTGTAAATTCAGCCACTTCTTGGAGGAATTTCTATTTCAGAAGATTGCCATATTTAGTGTGGTGGACAAGAGAATAGAAACAGAACTCTTTTTTTTTCTGGTTGGAAAAAGTAGCAGAAAAAATAATTTACCGGAAAAAAAAGCATATATTTAATTAATTAAATGGTGGTTGGGGTGCAAAAGAAACAGCAGATGAAAAAAATTTAATAAAATAGATTTAATAAAATACTCCAAACATTTAAATACAAAAGTGTCGGAAACAGAGGGATAGCCAGGATGGGGTGCTTCTGCCTGTAGGACCATATGCTGTCTGTCATTTCAAAGTTTAAAATAATTTCCTCCCTCACAAAGCTCAATGCTTGTTGTGATGCCAGGAGTTGCCATAAATGGGGGTTTTCAGGGGAAGTAATATCTGGAGGTACACTGTTTTTTTCAGCACAGATGGTTGTGCACCCAGAACATGAATTTCTATATATTGGTGCTGCTGTAAAGGCCAAAATATACAGCTCACACATAAAAATACAGTTTTAAAATTTGAGGCTGCATAAAATCACCTATCTCAGCAAACAAATATGGTCATTTTGTTCCACTATTGGGGTCATATCGTGTAAAAGCCCACCACTAAATCACACACAAATGTGTGAGTAAAAATGAAAATTAAAAATTTACTGCCACAAATTTTCTCAATTTTCTTTTGCTAAAACGGCTGCATCAAAACATTCCATATAGAATACCTTGGGGTGTCAACTTCTCAAATATATACACGTTCATGGCAAGAAAATAAATTGGGATATGTGAAAAGGCCCCTAAAAAGAAGAAAAACACATGTCAGAAGTTTAGCACCCTCCAAACAACCCAACAAACCTAAGCATAGGTGGTATCACTGTACTCAGGAAATGTTGCTGAACACATAACAGGAGCTTAGAATCCATTCCTAAAGGACAATGTGAAAGAGAAATAACACAAAAAAATGACTACCCAAAAGTTTGACAAAGACTGGTGGTAGAATTAGTGCATGGAAAGTGTTAAAATGCCACCATTTGAAATACCCTAGGGTGTCTACATTTTTCAGAAAATATTGTTTGATGGGCGTAAATCACATTGGCCGGCTTAAAATATTTCCCAAATAGGACATGGGTGCATGATGACCAGCTGTGAAAAGTCCAAATTGGAAAACTAGAAAGGGCACCCTCCAAATAAGGCATTTTTAAAAAATTGTCATATTTTCTAAAAGAAAATTTATAGTAAATTATATGATATGATGAAAATAATGGGATCTTTAGAAAGACCATTTAAAGATGAGAAAAACTGTGTATATAATATGTGTGGGTACAGTAAATGAGTAAGTGGAAAACTACAGCTAAACACAAACACCACATAAATGTAAAAATAGCCCTTGGTTCTTAACGGTAAGAAAATTGGAAAATGGTCTGGTCACTAAGGGGTTATGGGGATGGTAGTGTTCTTTTTAAGGTGTTTCTCTCATTTAAATAGGAATATTCATATTACAGTTTCACTTGACATCACTTTACTGTACAGCAGGGACACGATAGATAATATTATACGAGCTGTATGCCAAATGTTTTCCGTTTTCATACCTGTGCGTTTTGAATATAACAAAACATTTATAAAACTGGGGGGGAGGCTGCACTCACCTGAAAGCACACAAGATCCAGCGCACTCCCCTATCCACTAAACAGCTGTTTAGTGGATAGGTGAGTGTACTGCATCTTGTGTATAACAAAACATTTATGACTATTTTAACATAAAGTTTTTAAATGTTAGATTGTGTATTTTATTGAATTTTAACATCGTTACACAAACCCAACGGCAGCATACCTACAGTGTAATTGTTGGGTGTTTTTGTGTTTCAGACTGCACATTGTTATCCTCGTCATCTTGAAAGCTTTCCCCAGCAGCTGAAATCACTGCTCTGTTCACATCACTCCGTGATGGATCCGGACCTACGAATGGTATTTATATTGCTTTCATTTCACCAATTTGCCACCTATTAATAACATTATGACAATAACTGGGCTCTTTCCAGTGACCAAGGCATTTCACCTCTGTCAGCTGGATTGAAAATGCTGAATTAACACTATCGTGTTGTTAGTGTCTGGAAGGCTGGGTTAACCTTCCTCCAGCACTCTTAAACAATGAATGCTGCCCAGGTTTGGGTGAGATTGATTTGAAAAATGTTGCCTAATAAAAAAAAAAAACTGTCACAGGTTTGGTCGGGAATGGGAGCAGACCAGAGCAGCAACTTCTATAGGTTGCTACATGGAATGCAAGAAAACCACACAAATCAAGGAAAAAAATAAGTGTTCTGTTATTTACCAGGAACACAATCCAATCAAATACAAGCTCCGGTAACTCGGTATAAGAGAAGGGAGCAGGGAAGGCAGCGTGCTTTAGCTATTCAGGAAAGCAGCTTGCCCAGGAACTCAGGGAAGCAGCATGTTCTGGGACACTGAGGGTAATAGGAAAAAAATGAGCTCTGGGATCCTGAGGGTAATAGAAAAAATGAGCTCTGGGATCCCGAGGGTAATAGGAAAAGCAGCAAGCTATCGGCTTACTTAGGACAACAGGACCAGACCATAAACAAAATGAATGAACTGGCAAACAAGGCGTAAGACTAGACTAAATAGAGAGAAGATAATTGCAAAGCAAGGCCAGCTGGGAAGATCTCTCAGGCTGTGTGCAACAAGCTACAACAACCCCACAGAAAGGTAGTGGCACGGTGAGGTATTGCACCAGACTTATGAAAGAAAACAGAATCCTGACACAAACAAAAACTCTTGTGATATTTAAGTGTAAATGTTGATACTGCATCTCTAAATACTCTGTATAAATGTGCAATGCTCATTTAGTGTAATCTATTAAAGGAACACTCCAAGCACCATAACACTACAGCTCGCTGTGGTTATGGTGCCTGGAGTGCCCTGATATCCATAAAACTAAATAGTGCGATGTGACAACTTAGCTGGATACCCCAGGCTCCTGTGCTGCATCTGGTCTTCTGCAGAAATATCTGGATGTCTTAAATGAGCTAAGCAGGTCTGTAGAACAGTACTCATTTCTTGAGACACTCGGATGACTTTCTCATAACAGCAATTTTTAGTTCAATGAAGCTAACTAGATTCTCCTCCTAGAGAATCTGAATGCAGGACTATGACACGACCCAAGAGTTTCACAAGTTACTCTGGGAGGGTGGCAAAGAACTTCTGGCACCAGGTTTGGAATGCTAGCTTAAGATTTTAACCCCTTAAGGACCAATCTTCTGGAATAAAAGGGAATCATGACATGTCACACATGTCATGTGTCCTTAAGGGGTTAAAGACCTTCTTACCCTTACAATCTCAGGGGAAATAAAATGAATCTGTTTTTTCAGCTCTGAAAGTCAAGGAATGTGTGACCAGAGCACATTGAGCAGAGGCAACTGAAACAAAATACTGTAAAGTTGGCGGACAGGCACAAATCTGTTTTGAGAAAATTTTGATAGAGAAAAAAAAGCAATCAGTTTGATTAAACTAATATGTTCTGATAGCTTTGAAGGTGTTTATGGTGATACTCTTCCTGACTGCTTATTACACACAGTTACAGGCCTTGCTGTGATTGCTAGGTACACATTCTTACTGTTGTTTGTATTCTGCAGACTTTGTGCAAAGCTCTGATCTTGTTAAGGAACAAGGATTTAATAAGCCCCTCTACTATTCTGGAGCTGTTCTTTGAACTTCTGAGGTGCCACGACAAACTTCTTAGAAAGGTAAGACACAATGGGTATGGATAAGTTTGTTAGAGTAATCCTTTTTTCATTGGGTTCCAGTCCATAAACGCTCAAGTGTTTATTAGGTCAAAGCTGAACATTATGGGGAATTTTCAGGATAAAATATATAGCATGTAGTATTTATCCCACTATTAGCTGACACGTGTGACTGATCCCACAAGGAAGTGGGCTGAATAACATAATGATGGCTGGGGGCATCTCCACGTGCTCATGTAGTGTTGTTGTGTTTTTTTGTAATGATGGCATCATGTTATATTAAAGCTAGCAATTTCTGAGATTTAAATAGATTTTTATTTTATTTTTTCTTGGAACAAAACCTTATTTTTTTTTTTTTTTTTTTTTAATGTCTAACACTTTCTTTGTTAAAGCGGCACTGTCATGCCGAACTTACCTTTCCTCAATCTCTTCCTCTTCTCCTCCTCTCTCAAGATCTGTTCTTCTTTTCTTCCTGTCTTCTTTAGTTTTCTTTAAAATCATAAGACAAAGTAGGGACTCTTTGCCTTATGGAGGTTTCCTCCGCTTGACCAGCTTTTACCAGCGGAGGAGCAAAGTGTGCTTCATTTCCGCTGGTCAGAGCAATTTTCCCACAATTCTTACCTTTCCTCTGTGATCTTGCAATGCTTCCTGTCATTTTAGACGAAACTGCCGAATTGCGTTCTAACTGAATGAGAACAGTATGTTCGTTTCTTTTAGAACTCAATTCGGCACTTTGTTTGAATATTGGATGAATGAATGAAACAAAGATGGCGGTGCCCTGAATATAGATTGGGGCAGAAAATAAAGAATAAAAAAATAGGTAATATGGGGGGCTTAGGGGCATTTGGTGGTGACTAAGGGGTCGGTTAGATGTAGTGGAGTCGGGAGGGGGGTTTAAAAAAAAAAAAAAAGAAACGGGATTTGGCCATGACAGTGCTGCTTTAATTATGGTCCATATACTACCGCTGATTGGAATAATTTCAGAAACATTAGAAACTAGACAGAATTTTTTTGAATGCTAACATTCTAATGTTTAAAATAAATATAATTTTTTATGTTGGGATTAAGCTTGATTAAACATTATAGGCATTATAAAAGAGCTTTGCAGCAGCTGGTGATCTACATTCTGACTCTCTCTGGTGTCCTGGAAAGTGAGCCGAGTGTTCCTGAGTACAATTCAACTTTCTAATGTTGCCTTTGTATTGTCCTATATTACTAACCCAGAGCTATGTTAATATTTTTTTCTCCTTTCTAGACATTATATACTCATATTGTGACAGACATAAAGAATATAAATGCCAAACACAAGAACAACAAGGTTAACACGGTAAGTGTTGGTGTTTGGTGTTTTTTTTTCTCCATATCTTATAGTGCATCATAAAAAAAAATAGCTTTAAGTAACCCATTCTTCTCTTTTGACAGACCTTGCAAAACTTCATGTATACGATGCTGAGAGACAGTAATGTCATAGCAGCAAAGATTTCCCTAGATGTCATGGTTGAACTGTATAGGAGAAATATCTGGTAAGGAGAAATAGCATTATATTTTAATGTTTTTGAGATATCTTACACTTGTGTTGAATCAATGACCAATGTCCTAAAAAGTGAATGGAAGTGTAACATTCTTCAATATTAACCAGCCTTTGAACTAACAAAGCTGCATTCATGGCACTATTGCTCACTCTGTCACCCCCCCCTCGATCGCGTCCAACCCTGCCAACATAAAGGGTTAAAAACACTTTACTTACCTGATCCCAGCATTGTCCCTCTGCACTGTGTCGCAGCTCTGCCTCATCTGATGTCCCGCAATGAGTGGGTGTTAATGCGCAGCCAGTGCAGCACATGCATTAGTCCAGGGATCATCAAACTGTGGCCCTCTAGATGTTGCTGAACTACAACTCCCATGATTCTTTTAATTACATAGATAGCCAGAGAATCATGGGAGTTGTAGTTCAGCAACATCGGGGGGGGGAGGGGCAGGGTTTGAGGACCCCTGCATTAGACCTATCCATAGGAAAGCAATCAATAAATGCCTTCCTATGGGGAAATAGCTGACGCTGGATGTCCAGCGTCCATTACCAGATAAAGTCTGTTTGCAGCCAGGAAGCGCCTCTAGTGGCTGTCTCTGGAACTACATTGCTTCTCTGGAACTACAATGTTTAACATTGCAGCACTAAGTGCAATAGGGACACTACACCCAGACCACTTCAATGAGCTGAAGTGGTCTGGGTGCCTATAGTGTCCCTTTAATGACTTCTACTGATGCTTGCCAAATATGCAGTGTTGATTGTAATCATTACATATTTTACTTTGTACAATTTACTAATAACAAGGCATTGTCAACCCTTTACTGAATGTCTCTTATAGTACTTTTTCATGTATTGCCTTAATTTTACATGTATTTTTTGTTTGTTCTAGGAATGATACCAAAACGGTCAATGTAATTACAACAGCCTGCTTCTCCAAAGTTACAAAGGTATTAATTTAAACAAATAAATGTTCAATGTGTTTTACTGTTTTAGTTTCATTTCAAATGCTGGATGTTTTGTAACTTGCAAAGGGTGCTTTAACGGGGACCTGCCCCATTAGAAACCTCCAAAAATGCTCCAGAACTGCTGAACGCTGTTGGAGAAAGTCTCACTGTGTGTCTGACTTTCTCCACTATAAATTTATACTGCGCTCATACAGCTTGGCTTTTTCCTCTGCAAAAGTAAATTACTTTAATACCCTCATAACCACACTCTCCCGCAAACCCAAAATCACGATTTCACACATTTAACTCTCTTCTTCGCCCTATTGTTCCTCCTCTACCTACTAACTTTACCGCCTCAGACTTTGCAACTCACTTCACTGACAAGATCTCTACATCAGGGTAGAGATCTCTCATCTTTCTTCTTCACCTTACAATACTTCCCCAATCCTGACTCCCTCTGCTGTTCTATGTTCATTCGCACCCGCTACAGCAGAAGAGGTTTCTGCTCTGCTCCAGTCCTCCTGCCCCACCACCTGCTCCCTAGAATTCCTCACATCTCATCCATACTCTTTCTTCTTCTTTCTCCACTTCTCAATCTCTCTCTCTCCCCTCTGGCATATTTCCATGGCCCTTCAAACATGCAACTGTAACCCCAATTCTAAAGAAGCCCAACCTTGACCCTAACTCCCTGTCCAACTACTGTCCTATCTCGCTACTGCCTTTTGCGTCCAAGATCCTTAAAAGAATTGTGTGTAAGAGATTGACAGACTTCCTCAAGTCCAACTCTCTGCTAGATCTGCTTCAGTCTGGTTTCCACGCTATCCAATGATCTACTCGCTGCAAAATCTCATGGTCACTACTCTATCCTAATTCTCCTTGACCTTTCTGTGGCTTTTGACACTGTTGATCATCAACAGCTTCTTCTAATCCTCCGCAATATCGGTCTACAAGATATTGTTCTCTCCTGGTGCTCCTCCTACCTCTCCCTGTGCTCAAATCTTTCCCCCCCCCCCAACTCCTCTCTGTTGGTGTCCCCCAAGGCACAGTCCTTGGTCCCCTACTGTTCTCTATCTATACTGCCTCCCTTGGTAAACTCATTAGATTTTTTGGCTTCCAATATCATTTCTATGTGGATGACATGCAAATCTACCTGTACTCTCCTGATCTCTCCCCGTCCCTCTTGACTAGTGTCTCTGACTGCCTCTCTGCTGTTTCTAACTGGATGGCTGCCCACTTCCTTAAACTCAACTTGACCAAAACTGAAATTCTGGTCTTTCCTCCCTCAAGTGTTGTTACTCCTGTGTCTGTCTCCCTCCAAGTCAACGCTGCTACCATCAGCTCCATCACACAGGCTTGCTGCCTAGGTGTTCTCTTTGACTCCGACCTCTTCTTCACGCCTCATGTTCAGTCTATCGCCAAATCCTGCCGCTTCCATCTCAAAAAAAATTGCGCTCATCCGACCCTACTTAGCGCCAGATGCGACTATCATGCCGGTCCATTCCACTGTCCTTTCTCTAATTCTGGTTTTAGCTTTCAAATCTCTACATAATGCTGCTCCACCTATCTATCCTCCCTAATACATAAGATCTACGATCTGCTGAAGACTTACGTCTATCTTCTGTCCGTACTCCCATCTCTGGTGCTCGCCTTCAAGATTTCTTGAGGGCTGCACCATTCCTGTAGAACTCACTTCCCTCCTCTGTTAGATGCTCACCCAGTCTCCACTCCTTCAAAAAATCATTAAAAACCCACTTCTTCATAAAAGTGTATCAATTAAACTGTTAATAGCTCCCATCTGATTCCTCTCTTGCAACTGTCATTAGTCTAATACTATCATTACCTTTTGTGTAACTTTACTCCACTCCCTTTAGCATGTAAGCTCTTTGAGCAGGGCCCTCAACCCCTCTGTTCCTGTGTGTCCAACTTGTCTGGTTACAACTACATGTTTGTTCGTCCACTCATTGTAAAGCGCTGCAGAATTTGTTGGCTCTATGTAAATAATAACATAATAATAATTGTCTGATTATAGTCGTGCTCGGTAGAAAGTTGCTATACTTCTCTAAGCCTATCTATCCTCTCTGCACCATCATATTTTTATTCTTGGTCATCAGCCCCTTGCAGCTTCCATCTACCAGAAGCTACAACATCTCACTGTTGTACTGTTGCATGCACAATAGTATAAAGTGGGACATTGTGGTGTGTGTGTTTTTACTTTACAGATAATATGCATTATATTGTCTACGGGCTCAGATAACATAGCAACAACAAAATAACATGGACCTCGATATTATTTTTGAATAAGGTTTTCAAATGATTACCATATGTTGGATAACTAATTTGAAACCTCTTTCTATCAAATCGTTATCATTTCAAAAGTTTATCCAAAAATATTAAATCGTGGCCTTAGGTCACAGTTTCAATTGATTTTATAAAGGAAACACTAATGTATGATGATTAGTCTACTGTGTAAAAAGCTGTGCTGGAGAATAAAATACTCCAGTAGCATTTACTGAGGTGAGTTAAAAGGCACTGATCCCAACACAAAGGTTGCTGTTTTTCTTTGTTTCATTTTTGTCTTCTGTTTTATTTTAAACATTATTTTTTAATGGTTGACACCTTTCTTTACAAAGATTATTTTATAATTGCACAAGATCTTTCATGTAATTTTTTTAACATGTTGTTGTTTTGGAATGATTATGGAGAGACTTTTTTTTTTTTCTTTTTATAGGGTTACTCCAAACACCATGATTTGAAGTGGTCATGGTGCATTGAGTCTGTATGTGCAGTGTTTTTGCTTTGAAGAGCTGCCCATACATATAAATTAACCCCTCTGCTGCTGGAGGTATAACGTCATATCTGCCAGCATCACAGGGGCCTAATTAGCCAGGACGAACTAGAGTTCTATCCTACCCTCAGTCCAGCCACCTTGAACTCCCTCAGAAAAATATCGGACTGAGGGAGGACTTGGCCCGGGTAATAGAGATTTCTACCAATCCATGGAAAGGATATCATTCCAATAAATATTTGTTGTATATAAGCAAGAAAAGCATTTTTGGCCTGGTCAGAAATCATGTAAATCTAACCTTTTCTCCTCAGATTCTTGTTGCTGCACTGAAATTTTTTCTTGGAAAAGATGAGGATGAGAAAAAAGACAGTGATTCCGATTCAGAGGTCAGAATTTTCTCTACTGTCTTTTTTTATAAAGATCGAAATCTATTTATGTAAACTCATTCACATCTATCTAGTATGCTTTCTACCACTTGTGAAGAACAGTACACTTTAAGAATATAATTGACATAACATTTTGAATATGAAATTTAGTTGATACAACAACTAGAATAACAACAAAATGGAAACTCTTAAACTCAGAAATATACATTTATTTTATGAGGGAGATTGGTACAAGCTTCCAGTTGTCACTGTGTTAATATACATATAGCTGAAAATTAACTAGAGGTCTCTCCATAACCGATCTTATTAAAGAATGAAGATGGCCCCACGGCTAGAGACCTAATATTGAGATACTCTACTGGGAAAAAAAATACAAAGAGTAAGAAGAAGCTGGAGAAGGCCATGAAAGTATTGAAGGTAAGCCTTGAATGCAGACTCATCACTTAGATGCACCTTTTACCGAGGAAGGAAAAATAAACAGTTCTGTGATGTCCATGAAGGTATTGATACATTATCAGCTTAGGCTTGTTCAATTAACAAACATGGTATTTGTTATATTTCACAGAAACATAAAAAGAAGAAAAAGCCAGAGATATTTAACTTCTCAGCCATTCATTTGGTACATGATCCCCAAGGTAAGCTTTGCATTTATTGAATTAAATGTACAACTCGAAAGCCCATGGTATGCAGCAGCACTGTGAAATCTGCCTTCTGTACCATGTATAAAGCAATGTAATATTGTTATATAAAGATCTAATCCACAACGTATGCTATAAATCCCATAATCCATGGCTGTCATTCTACAAATGTCTGGCAACAAAATAAGGTTTGTATGTTCTGGAAAAATAAATTGGCCAATCTATATTATATTCTTAAATAGCGTGTCCAGGTCACTAGCCCCCTGTTAAGTGCAATCCCGGTTTATATCTCCTGCACATAGTACAGATAGTAATGGAACACTCAAGACAATACTTCTCTAACGATGCATAAATTAAATGGATGCACTTTTAAAGCAACCTGTGTATTTTATTTGAAGGTATGCTCATCCTTTTTTTTTTTTTTCTTGCAATCAAGGTTTAAGTTACAGATCTAACCTTATCACAGCAAAGAGTCTAATTATGGTGGTGGTTGTAAACCTCATTTAATTCTCCCCGCAATCTATGTTCTTTTCCACTTAACCTCTGTAGTACATGCTCCTATTAGTTGAGCTGGTTTCTTTGCCCAGTCCTGTTAATGATCACTATTGGGATGTCAGAAACCTGTCTAATCCAAATTGATTGCAGGTCAGTAAATTTATTTTGTGTATGACAATCTTTGTAGGGCATATAAATTCGCTTTTATAGGCATTCAGTCTTAGAAGGGCTACATTGGACCAACTGTTTCTTGTTTCAGATTTCTCTGAGAAGCTGTTGAAGCAGTTGGAATCCTCAAAGGAAAGATTTGAAGTGAAAATGATGCACATGGACCTGATTTCCAGATTGGTTGGGATCCATGAGGTAAAGACTTTCCCTACATTTAAAACTATTTCCTGTTTTATCCTGCGTTGGGGTGGACCAGAAGAAGGAGCTCTTCTTTTAAGGGAGAGGGATTTTACTGTGTGCTGCCACTGAGAATTATTAAATCTCTGCTCTTTGTCCCCATGTTATGTATTTTGATCATTTTGTTCTTGCAACTTTGGAAAGCCTCTTACTATAGCAACTATAACAGTATTCCAGTCTATTAATGGAAACTGCTAACTACTAATCATTTTGGCATTTGCTACTTTATACTAAATATTTCACATAGATTAAAGGAACACTTCAGGCACTCAAATTGCAGCAGTGCATGTGATCTAAATCTTAACGGGTGAGATCTTTTTATTTTATATTTATTGTTTGATACCAAATACAAACGGTGCAAAGCAAATAAGATACAGTGGGGTGTTTTTTGTTTTCTTTTGTTCTGTAGAAATGAATGGAACAAAAAAAGAGAACTGCTTACACAAGCAACTGTGAATAGCTCATTTTACATTTTCCAAGTGATTTTGACATTTGACTGCTAAAGTATTAATCTCTTTGCATGATATGCCGTCTGACTAAAAGCAAATCATAGCGATTTGAAAACCATATTGCAAAATATAGGCAAACTTTTTTTTTTTTTTTATCTGGAAAATATACTCTACTCTGCTCACAGCTTGGCTTTTTGTTGATTTCATAACACAAGTGCATGATTACCTTAGTTTATTTGCTTTTCTTTATTCATTTATTTAACTGATCTATTTACTTTTCTTTATTACAGCTTTTTCTCTTTAACTTTTATCCATTCATACAAAGATTTCTCCAGCCTCATCAAAGGGGTAAGCCATTTTAATGCCAGCAACCACTGATTGCCTTTTTTTGTGTGTCAATCTTTGTTTATTAGTAGTAGGCGATACAGAAATAAGAAATAGAATAGCATTTAAACAACACGGTAAGGTACATTAGTTTGAGTGAATACCTTCTTCAGGCTGCTCCCCCCGCATACACATTGGGGGTTAGGTGGCTGAGTACTTTCGTGCGTTGGTGAATGGACTTTATTTTGCATGACCCCTAGTTATCTAATTTGCGGAGGTACACTGTGCCTCCTTTGGAGGGTATGGGAAGTACAGAGGTGTTACAATCCCATATCTCAGTCTCTGTGCCCTTGTCCTACATCCCAGGGATCCCTGTGCCTTTTTTCCTGTGTTTGTTTGTAGTGTGTGTCAGGGGTCATGTGGGTAACCCGTCTTTTTCCGTAGAGACTCGTCTGTTCTCTCTGCCTATTGTCTGTCATATGTCATATACCCTTGGGGGTTGTTGTGGGTCTGTGTAACCTGCTCGTGAATGGCGTGTTTGCCTCCAGTTCGCGTACCCTAACGAAGAGTCCCCAGTATGTGTCAGAGGTGGAGAAAATAGTGGTATAAAGAGGGGAAGGGGGTGAGGAACAGGCTGGATTGGAATGTCTTGTGAGTCGCCCCTATCCATCACGTCGCGAGCACGCCCCCGGTGGGTTGGTTCCTAGGTTCGTCCCTGTTGCACAGGTAGTACGTCCATGTCCTCCAGATCTCCTCGTGTTTCTCCTCTCACTGCCGCTATTTCGGCTTCCACTTGCCTGATTTCCTCCCACTGATTGTATTTGAAGTGCCATGTTTCAAGAGCAAAGGCTTTATGTACTGTGCAGTATATGAAATGGTGTGGAAACCACAAGTAATGTGTGAAAAAAAAAAAAACACAATTAAAATATAGGTAGATGGGTGGAAGAAGTATAGATAAACATACGGGTGAGAATTCTGGTGGCCACAGTTTTCCCCAGTTCTGTACTAATCACTGTCTATTGCTTTTTAGAGGTAACAAAGATTCTTTTGTTTGCTGCTCAAGCCACTCATCAGTTAGTGCCTCCAGAAGTAAGTACAGATCCTTTCCACATCTTCTACAATATATAAAAAAAACCTCCCTGCACAGCTTCACACACACACACACACACACACACACAACAGAATAGAGTTTCTAAAGAAAGACAACTTTGTTTTCTCCCCAGGTTGCACAGTCTGTGCTGATGACGATTGCTAATAACTTTGTTACAGACCGAAACTCAGGAGAGGTTATGACTGTTGGGTAAGATTGTACACGGGCCACAATATAAAAATACATTATTTATATTAATATACAGTCCATACTACTGCTTTTATTTGTATGGCTAATGGTAAGCCACTTCCATATCTCTAAAACATGTATTTTCCATTTTAACTTGTGCTGGTATTTCTCAGAATATTTTTCCCTTCTATTAGTTTGTTATAAATGTTTATTTTAATTTGTGGTTTCCTTTTGCAGGTTAAATGCCATCAAAGAATTGACTGCTCGATGTCCATTAGCGATGACAGAAGATTTGCTTCAAGATCTAGCACAGTACAAGACACATAAAGATAAAAGTGAGTTGTAGTTTGACAGAACAGTTCATACAGGAAGTAACTAAAGCAGTGGTTTCCAAACCTGTCCTCAAGGCACGACTACCAGTCTAGGATTTAGGGATTACCCAGTTGTGTCTAAGGTGTTTTTAAAAAGGAAAACTTCCTACTCTCTGGCAATAGTAGCCAGGTAAGTAGTTAAACCATTCAAAAAACGTTGACTGCTTAAACAGGACACTCCTGGCACCATAATCACTATAACAATCTTTAATCTTCATGTTTCTTGGAGTGTTCCTAAGGGTTTCAGGAGATGTTCTAAAACACTTTTTTTTTAAAATTCTTATTTTAACTGTGTTTGAAGAATGTGTTTTGTACCTCTTTCACTGCTTTTAAATTGTTTAATGTTCATAATATTTAAGCAATGCCTCAAACTAATAGTTTTCTACATACATGTAATCCTGATTTAAAAGGAAAACTGTATAATTTTGTGTCTCCAATTAGATGTCTCCATGTCTGCCAGGTCATTGATACAGCTCTTCAGATCATTAAATCCTAACATGTTGCAGAAGAAATTCCGGGTAGGTCATTGTAAACACTATTCTAAAATCGATGTTAATACACATTGCAGACGTGCTTATCCTGGGAAGGTAATTAAATTAGGGGCACGCTTTTAACAATAAACTGTATTGTTAATACTTATAGGGTAAACCAACAGAGGCCTCCACTGAGGCACGAATTCATGCGTATGGAGAGTTGGTTGCAAAAGACTATATTCCAGGGGCAGAAGTTCTGGAAGTCGAAAAAGAAGAAAACAAAAATGAAGGCGAAGATGATGGTAAATTAATACCTACCTTTAAAAAAAAAAAAAAAAAATTTTAAAAAATACCTTTTTGTATTTTTCTGCATCCACGGTACAGGTAACGGCAAAAAAAAATGAAATTTCTTTTTATAGATGGATGGGAGAGTGCAAGTCTTAGTGATGATGATGAGGATGGAGAATGGATAGATGTTCATCATTCCTCAGATGAAGAACATCAGGAAGTTGTAAGTAGTGGGCCAATACAGTCTTTATGCTTGTGTTTTGTGTATTTGGATATTCAGATTGATTCTGGGATGGACACTCCCTTTCACACACTCACTCATTCTCTATCTCTCTCTGAATTTGCCTGGAAAAGATTTCCATAGAGAACTCGTCTTGAAAGTTCTCATTTTTTTGTTTTTCAATACAGGAAATGTGATTATATTCCTGGGATCCTAAAACCTCCTATGATAGGGGTTGGAAAATGTTTAAAATACATTTGCCCAGCTTTTACATTGTGGCATTACTCCTGGGTAGCTCTTTACCTATTGGCTCCGAGGAAAGTAAGAAATCAGGTGTAAATAAGAAATGACTCCAGTCTTTTTTTTTTTTTTTCCTGTCCTCTCAGCAGGTCAGGAATACCTATTTAGGTATTTCAGTTCACCTTGCTGCTTTTTCATGTAGCATTTTTTTACATTCAGCCTCTTCTCAGAATCCCCAGGGAACAGCTCTGTGCATGTTGACCTTCTGGGGACTAGTCGTAGTTACTGCAGACTTTAGTTACTGGGCTAGTTATATAGCTGTTGTGATGTGAGTTGCATGCTATCCCACATGTCTCCCTACTCCTGAGAGCTTTTCTCAAGGCTAACATACCTATCCTTGTTCTGTGCAGCCGTTGCTTATGCCTTTTCTCTTTCTTCCATTTTCTGGTAGTCTAGAGTTGTGTGGCTAATCTCCCCTTAGCTTCAGTGTTCAATGCTAGTACACTGCTGGCTGGAGTAATGGGGCTGCTCCCTTCCTCTTCCCTCTTATTCTCTCTGTCTGTATCATTTTTTTTATGACTAATTGCTGTGTAACTACTTTATAATTGAAAAACATTTTCTGATGTAAGCATTTCTTAAAGAAATAACATTAGCAATTTAACTCAAAGGCAGAGAAAATCCAAGCAATGCCGGAGGAGGAAAGGAAAGTCAAGGCTTCCGCAGTCAGTGGAAGCAGATTTCTCACCCAGGAAGAGTTTAAGAAGATCCGGATCGCTCAAATGGCCAAAGAAATTAATGCAGCTCCAGGAAAATCTGAAAAAAGGAAAAACATTGAAATTGACAGTAGTGATGATGAACGCAAGTATGTGTATTCTCTTAACCACAAGTACATAGCAATCTACAGGTTAAAATGCAGGCATCACATTTGTATCCTTACTCCGTGTGCTTTACACGTATTGCTGTATAGGGTAGCATTTACAGATTATGTAGTGGCTTAAAGAACATTTTAGAAATTGTTTAGGAGATTAGAGATGGTTTCATACTGATGGAAACTCCTGCTTTATAAATTAATGTTTTATTGGTATTGTGTTAGCCTGTTAACTAAATAAATGTTAGAGGAAGCATCTAAACATTGCAAAGTAGAGGAGTGAAGGCAGCATGGTGTCTCTAATAAGTCTATTCACTTAAAGGGACTCTATAGGCACCCAGACCTTTTCATGTCAATGAAGTTGTCTTGATGCTGGAAACAATATAAGTAAAAGCATAGTGCTGTTTTATATATTTTTAAAGAAATGGGGAACTTCTAGTCTTGAAGAAAAGATTATTTCAGAACAATAGTTTTAACAGTGGATCGTAGTGCATGATAAGCCAAGATTGCTAAATTTAGGCCAGAGTTACAATGCTGGGAATAAAGACCCATGATTGTAATGTTTCATTCGATTACTGACAAAAGCAAGTTTCAAGCATATTTGTAAACTTAATTGAACGCTCCTTGGTTACCTAGCAAACTATTTCTCTGTAAATTATATCTGATGTTTGAATTTCATACCTTTCTTCAATAATTCCTATTCTTGCTTCAATTCCAGGGGTGAGCTACTTTCGCTTCGAGATATTGAGCACCTGCATAAGAAACCAAAAACTGACAAAGAAACAAGACTTGCCACAGTCCTGGTAAAGATCTTTTACATGATGCATCACTATTTCTAAACTATTCATGTCATCCATATGTTTCCCCTTATCAGCTAGTTTTGGTAGAATAATGTATGATTGGTAGATTCCAGAAACACCTAACAGATAGGTAATGGGTATGTCATCACATAGTCCTGCCTTTCTATGTTGTGTTCCATTCCCTCTTTACCTATATACAGTGTATTGCTGATGCTCTCTAGGAACTCGATGGAAGCATAGCTGGAAAAAGTACACAGCCAGGTATTACACGTGACCCAGATTTGTGAGGGACTGGAATTTTTGGCACTTGTATTCTGAATGTGTGGCAGCTTTGGATCCGCTAACCAAATCTCTTCTTTCTGGTAGTGTGGTTGATATGTCAAGAAAGGTGCAGGGAAGCAGTGCCTGTATTATTGTTCTCAGATCCAAGGAAGTATGTGAAATAAGCAGAGAGAACGTAATATAGTGTAGTATGTTATAAATTCTGTTTAGCTATGAAAGAAACAAATTGCACTTACAATTTTCTGGAGCTTATGTTCAGCTCCAGATTTATGCGACGGAACAATCCCAGTCTGTGGATATGGAGTTGGCTCCTTGTGCTTGTTAGCAGATGTTGTTCCCAGTGCTCTTCGTTGTTATACCGCAATCTAGCAGTCAGATGTCCTCAGTATACAGGAGAAGAATTTAAAACAAAATCTAGTGCTCCAAGAGAAAATTCTTCAGCTGGTATCCGTGAATTTAAACTAAGGTTGTGAGAAGAATGAGGCGCAGACAAATCGATAATTAGACGTTGTTTATTAGAGGTGCTATTGGTAACCACTCTAATAGGATTTGTCCCCCAACTGTAGCAATTCATCAACTGCAGTTGGGTTGTTTGTGGCTGAAAGTAAGTTGGTGCATTCTAGAGTGCCTGTGGGGTGTTCTATGAGCACTGTATGAAAACTGTTGGAGAAAACAGAAATAAACCAAGTGGGGAGAGAAGGGGGTTGTCAATGTTAATCTCAGTCAGTCACTTCTTATGGAAAAGCTTAGAGGGGCACATGGCTTTTGGATGTGCCCTAAGGCAAATGTGCAACAACCTGCAGGCTTTGTAGCCCAGGAATACGACTGGTTTGGCTAGCTTATCTCTTTGGCCCCTGTCCTGACTGATGGAGGGGGTTTTGGAAGGATCTGTTTTCCAGGGACACACGTTGGAGGAGTGAGTGGTGGAGGAACATACTGCACAAGATGGGGACCTCAGGCCGGCAAAATGCCTGCAGAACAACTGTGTCCAACTGACTCCAATCAATACGGTTACTAAACTGGGCCAGAGCTGCTGCTGCTGCTTTAGATGACACCGACCTGTGATCGTCGTAGAAGTCGAAAGCCCCATATTTGTGCCCCTGGTCCACCACTGGTCAGCAAATGACATCTCTGTATAACCCAAAGCCGAGAATGAATTCAGGGATGGATTGTTTTTTTTTTTTTTTAATTGAGATGAGGATCCCTGGTTTTGAGGACCACAGAAATGTCTCTGTAATTAAAGGCCCTATTTTCCAGGATGTCCTGCCAAGCAATGAGGAGAGAGACTAGGCTGACATTTTTGCCTTTCAGAATGTCTTTCTTAATGGCAGTGGGAACGGAGTGTGCGGGAGCAATAACTCGTGGGGGGGGAGGAGGGGGGTGTGTATTAGTAACGGCACTACCCTGGGTGTATGCAGGTGTGGAGGCTAGAACTTCAGATGCGCTGCTAGTAGTAGGGATGATGTCCCTATCAATATAGAACTGGCACGTTAGCTAGTGCCGGTGACTAACTTAACTACCCCGTGACAGTTGAATCCCTGCTAGTTGCCAAGTGGTGATGAGAGGCTCTACCTATGATTTGGCCCATGGGGGATAGTGGCCACGAATTGTTGTGGTTGGGTGTTTGCATCTTGGTGACCGTAAAGAGTTAAAAATGAATAGCCGTGACATGTGACCCCTGAAGAAGGGGATATAGGGTAGATTTATCTAAATGTAGGGGCCTTGTGGAGATACCTCAGCGAGAGGTTGGGAATAGGCCTTGCGTGAACATGAGTAAGTAATACAATAAGGCCAGCTCCTAACCCTTTGCAGCCAGTTCTCTATCCCTAGCGGGCTTGTCATGTAACCAATAACGTAATTGTGACCATACGTACCTATAAGTAAACTGCAACACGAAACAGACGGAGGAAAGAGCTGGAGGGAAGATAGCTGCAAATGGTACCCATCTGAAAATAAAGATCAATAATTACACTGGGATGAGTGATATATAGGTTTAATGTTTGTGTATAAAAAAACAGAATGTACCCTTACAGGTCTGATGTGAGCTTACTTTAGACCAGAGAAGGGTCTGTCAAGTGCATCTATAAATAATAGAATATACGTGTGGGTAAAAGAGGTAGGCATAAGAGGGCAGAGGAGATATATATATATATATATATATATATATATATAATCTGATAGGTGTAGGAATATGACTTCAGAATCCTAAATTTGCCTAATGGAGTAATAGTGAAAGCTGGCAAACTGTACAAGAGAAGTCACTACATGCTGTAACGTATTGAGGACCTAACACGTGGGTCTGATGCAAAGACAATCACCTAAAAGAGCACAACGCGGAACGTAAAAGGCAGATTGAGGCCTAAATATAGGAGTTTAATGAACAAAATGAGCATAAGGAAACAAATACCTGACACAAAGTTTGCAGGAAGAACACCGTTATTTTCCTAAACGTCCAAGCGGCAGTCATAACAAGTGGGATGTAGTTGCCCATTTCTCACAGGACAGGTAGCATTGAAAAGGTTAAAACAACAAAATGCACTCCCCACCCCCAGTCTCCTCCCCTCCAAGCCTTATAAAGGGCAACTCCACCCTGAGCTCCCCAGTATTTACCTGTCCTCTAGAGAGACAGGTCAGGTAGCAGAGCTCTGCCTTCCCTTGACAGAAATTGTGAAGTTATTCACCTTTTTTGTGTTCTGTATAGATGTGGTGAGGGGGCTGTGGCTCCTGGAGGGCTCTGTCTTGCTTTTGAAGGGTGCTTAGCCAGTGCTCTGGTCCTTCCATTACCAGATTATGTGAACACATGACCGGTTCCTGTGTTTCACTCCTTTTTCATTCCGCTCAATTTGTACCGGGTGACAGAAGAGGGGAAGGTGCATCTGTACGCACAGCTGGGAGGCTCCATATGTGGACAACACATTGGGGTGTTGTTGCATTACACTTATGAATTGCAGAGTGCTATGCAAGTGCACAAAGCGATCTTGGCACCTGGTGAGAACTCTTGAATCTGGAGCAGGATAATTAAACCCAGCAGTAACGATCTGGCCACCGGGTGTGTTTCAGATGAGTTACCAGTGTGCTCTCACCAGCCCTCCAGCACACCAGAGGCTTATTAGGGTGAGACAAGTAGCTTTCATCTTAATAATTTTTCTTTGCTAAATAAGCCTGCGGCCTTACCACTCTGAAAGTGCCTGATCTTGTGAGATCTTAGAAGCCATCCAGACTCTGACCTGGTTAGTAATTGTATGGGATGCCAACTAGGAACCTCAGGTGCCAATAGGAATGTAAATAATTGATATAGTACCTGAAACGTAATATAACAAGAGAGCAAAGTGAGCACCGCATTAGGGAAATTAGACATAAATATGTATTTTTACGTTTTATTTTTACCACCAGTGTAACATAGACTATGACTATGTAATCTAGAGAAAATACAAAGAACGTGCGGTGTGTGTGTGTGTGTGTGTGTGTGTGTGTGTGTGTGTGTGTGTATGTATGTATGTATATATGTATAATATATATATATATATATATATATATATATATATAAATTACACACACATACACTGAGCGCTACAGTTAAAGGCTCCAGAAGGAGGTAGTAAATGGGAAAACCGCGAAAGGCAAGTGTTTAACCGCACCACATAACTACTAAACAATGTGCCAGAAGGAACCGAACAGAAAAGCCTGCGCGAATGGGGAGGTCCTCAGTGCATTCTGAACGAACAGTGAAAGTTTATACAAAAGCTAATGGTACAAGAAGGTTGGAAATTATGAAAACAGGCTAATCACAAACCTCTGAGTGAAAGTGGCTAGGGAGGCTAAGTTTTTAACCGAATGGGACAAAGACAGTGAACGTAAGAATTTAAAACAAATGAATGTACAGAAAAACGAATGAGCATTCTATATGGCACTATGAAACATGTAAACGTAAGTAAGTACGGGGAGTTATGAAAGTTAAACATCCGAACGGCCCTTGTGTATGAAAATGCAAAGGGAGCCCGTCCCTGCGATTGGCAAGCCCGAACGTGGGAACGCCGCGAACGGGTTCCCACGTATACATACGCAAGTGCGCCATGGCCGGAAGCCGGTGTCTGTGAAACAGGAGCTGGGTCGGAGATATGGAGACACTGCAGGCCGGATTGGAGAGGCTGAACGCCGGGTCCGTTGGCTGCTTGCTGGAAAATTTTGGAAAATACTGACTCGGAAGTGCTCGTTGTCGTAGCAACATCACTCGAATCAGGAACCGGCAAAGGTATATAGGGAAAACTCCTCCCACAAATTCAGGCCTATAGCCTTTTACATATATATATTTTGTGTATGTGTGTGTGAAACCTTTTATACATTATTTGACTTACGTGTTTTATATATTTGACATACATGTTTTATTTCTATTGATTTACGTAGTATAACACTGTAATTATTCTATGACAGGCTGGCAGAACAGACCGAAAAGAATTTGTAAGGAAAAGGACAAAAATGAATCCTCATGCCAGTTCCACCAACAAGGAAAAGAAGAAGAATAAAAACTTTATGATGATGCGATACAGCCAGAATGTTCGAACCAAAGGCAAGCGTTCATTCAGAGATAAGCAGGTAATGCATACAAAACATTTGGGACCAGTCCAGTAAATTAAACATGTTGGCAAGCAATAGAAACTTGTGTTGAAGGTACAACCACTTAGATTTTTCCATAGCTCCATAAATAACAGCATACAGGGTTATTGAGTTTGGCTTAGGCTAGTACTCCATCCAATGAAGAGTAACATACATTTATGACTAATGGTGGCAAATTATCTCTTTTACCAGCTTATGTTTACATAAAAGATATCAGCAAGGTGGCCCTTGTCCAGTTTTTGTACTGGTTACTGTCTTTTTTTTTTTTTTTTTTGCACTCCAGTGACTAAAACCTATGTTTACTGCTGTTATTAAGTGGGGGGGACTTTTTGTTTGGGGAAAAAAAGTGTGTGTGTGTATATATATATATATAAATATATATATATAAAAATAAAATGGTAGGAAATAGCACTCTAAGGACTTCAAAAAGTAAATGGTGAAAAAAACTTAGCTTTTATTCAGCAACTGCCACACAAAATCGACGTTTCAGTTCTTAATACAGAACTTTCATCAGGATAAGGTGCATTACACAAACCAACATTAATATATAAAAACAAATAAGTACATAACATGCAAAACAGGTGTAGCTTACCCCAATCCCTGTGTGGTCCCCATGGTGATCGCCAAAAAACGTGGGTAAAATTAACCCCTGGAAATGTATTCAGCAGCTGGGGTGTGCTGCTGTGTAACCTCAGAATGCTGGCAATAGCTGGAGCCGAAGGCTGTCTGTGTTACCATGTCGTTATGGTAACCAAACTGCTCGTGTAGAGGTGGGCGGGACGGAGCATCAGGTGGGCGTGGCTATGGTCCGATCTGTAGAATGTACTCAGTGCACAAAGGGCGGGTGTCTGGTATGAGGGAGGGATCCTCTTTCTGCATACTTGTGATGCCTCACTGGTTTAAAGGATAGACGGCAGAGGGATAATCTGCTAACAGGGGCAGAGAGCACAGACATAAAGGACACTACATTGTGACTTCCATGACAAAAACTCATTAAGTCACTTCCACAGTCACAATTTATGAGAGTAATACGTAATAACTCCAATGTGGCAAATACCCAACTCCAACTACAAGATATGTGGGGAAAATTTCTTGCACGGGGTTACAAGCCCGTGGATCTATCTAAGGCATTGGACAGATGTTATGAAACACCGACACAGAATACAGTAACAACAGTACCAACTGAAAGATTGATATTCCCAATAACATATACCACCATATCTGACGAGATTAAACAATCAGTGGACCGTAATTGGCGAATTCTACAGAATGATACCAGTTTACCACCTCAATCTAAACAGCGCCCAATGATGCGTTACCGTAGGGGCAGCAATTTGAGGGACCTACTGGTCAAAACTGACCCCACACATTGTTATAGCAAACCTACTACCTACCAGAACCTGGGGTGTCACAGATGTTTGGGCTGCGTGACATGCAGCCACATGATCCCCAGTAAATCATTTGTACATCCACACACTGGAAAAAAATACCCCATAAAACATAGACTTACTTGCACAAGTGACTTTGTGGTATACAAATTGGGGTGCCCTTGCGGTTTGATGTATGTGGGGAAAACTGATCTACCACTACGAGAGAGAATTCGCAACCACCGTTCAAGTATACGTACAGCCTATAGAGACAATGGGTCAGAACAGCCGGTGGCAAAACATTTTTTGGAGAAAAATCACCCCTTACCAGCAATGAAGTTTCTGGCTATTGATCACATCCCACCACCCCTAAGAGGTGGCGACCGTAAGAAGCTCCTACTACAAAGAGAACTTTATTGGATCTGGACACTGTGCAACCCAGAGGACTAAACGAAAAATATACTCTAGGTATATTCTTATGATATATCTCCAGGACTGGATCAAAAAATATCCTCTCATTTTAATGCTCCAAAAATGTTTTTGTGTATATATATTGGACTCTAAGAATTAACCACCTCTGTATATTAGCTTATAGCCTGTATCTTTTTTTATGTATGCGTATTATACTGTGGACCGATGGGCGCACTAAAGTTTGACACACTACCATTGGACAGCACCGACATTATATGTATTCCTTGCATATATAAATGACAATGGTCTTTCTAGACACACGTCCCCGCAGGGACTTTAGAATCACCATTACTCTTTTTATGACAGTGTATTACTATTTAACACATTTATGGGTCCATGCTCTATCCATGGTTGAAGTACTAACCTTGGATATAACATTATCCATGTATGATTATGCCATAATGGCTGATTTATTATACAGCTACCCTGGGAATAATAAACCCAGCGTGCCCTTTGTATCTATTCAAGGGCTTATTGTTTACTCCTTGTCTATTTATTCATTCAATATCAGACATTATGACATCTAGCTCCTGCTATGCTACACTACATACATGTAGTCAGCATCTGTAATATAGCCCTAATTCCACTCTATATCCAGCCTCAGACCCTGCTATTTGCAAGTTAACCTAGAGGTATTCTATATATGTCACTCTTCCAGCCCTCTATGGTCACACAATAGCTTTGTTTTAGACCTACTTCTTTGCCATGTTTTTGTCATGGAAGTCACAATGTAGTGTCCTTTATGTCTGTGCTCTCTGCCCCTGTTAGCAGATTATCCCTCTGCCGTCTATCCTTTAAACCAGTGAGGCATCACAAGTATGCAGAGAGAGGATCCCTCCCCCATACCAGACACCCGCCCTTTGTGCACTGAGTACATTCTACAGATCGGACCATAGCCACGCCCACCTGATGCTCCGTCCCGCCCACCTCTACACGAGCAGTTTGGTTACCATAACGACATGGTAACACAGACAGCCTTCGGCTCCAGCTATTGCCAGCATTCTGAGGTTACACAGCAGCACACCCCAGCTGCTGAATACATTTCCAGGGGTTAATTTTACCCGCGTTTTTTGGCGATCACCATGGGGACCACACAGGGATTGGGGTAAGCTACACCTGTTTTGCATGTTATGTACTTATTTGTTTTTATATATTAATGTTGGTTTGTGTAATGCACCTTATCCTGATGAAAGTTCTGTATTAAGAACTGAAACGTCGATTTTGTGTGTCAGTTGCTGAATAAAAGCTAAGTTTTTTTTTCACCATTTACTTTTTGAAGTCCTTAGAGTGCTATTTCCTACCATTTTATTTTTGTTATTTGCTTTATTAGCACCAGGCATTAACCTATCTTTACAGGAGTGCAAGTATTTGAATATTTTATATATATATAATATATATAAATTTTTTTATTTATTTTTTTGTTACATATTCAGGCAGCAGATGTGCCTGCACTAGATGCATGGTATGGGAGGAGAACAGTAGAATTAGTTTTCCTAGTGCTAATTCTTAAAGGGGAACTCCAGTTCCAGGAAAACAATCTGTTTTCCTGGCACTGCAGGTCCCTTCTGCCTCCCAACACCTTCAGTAACTTACCAGAGGCAGCTGCTTCTTCCTCCGCTCCTCCCAATGATTGCCGGGGAGACCTAATGTGCATGCACGGCAATGCCACACATGCGCAATAGAGCTCCCCATAGGAAAGCATTGAAAATGCTTTTCAATGCTTTCCTATGGGGAATTGAGCGACGCTGGAGGTGTTCACACAGCGTGAGGACGTCCAGCGACGCTCTAGCACAGATTTCCTGTGCTAGGGACACGGATGTGCCCTCTAGTGGCTGTCTAGCAGACAGCCACTAGAGGTGGAGTTAACTCTGCAAGGTAATTATTGCAGTTTATAAAAAAACTGCAATAAGTACACTTGCAGGGTTAAAAGTAGTGGGAGTTGGCACCCAGACCACTCCAATGGGCAGAAGTGTTCTGGGTACCTGGAGTGTCCATTTAATGTATTCTTACAGGAAGTGTTTCCTGTGTATTTCAGATAAAGGTAATCTGTTTTTAGCGGAGTGGAAAAAATTACCGGTTATGAGTAGAGTATACAGTGCAGCCAGGCCTTTAGAGCACCATATTTAAAATGTTTTGAGTTTTTTTGCAAGCTGAATTCAAACACTATATGATATTTAGCTCCCATCTTATTTTTTCTTTTTCAGATTGCTTTGCGAGATGCTCTTTTGAAGAAAAGGAAAAGGCTCATGAAATAAATGCAGAAGGCGCATATCAGCGGCTTTATTGATCTACATACAATAAAACTGCAATACACATAAGTGTGTATATCAGAACAAATACAATTGCAGAATTCTAACATGGAATCAAATTGAATTCTATATTTAACACACAATAATCACTATGTTTTTGTGCAAAAATTTTAATTCATTTTGAAATCCTGAAAAGTCAGAGTTAGGTGTATAACCCTTTTGGTGAAAGCCGAATGAAAAATGTTCACTGCAGCCAGATTATAATGCTAGTATGTAATCTCATACATTTCTGAAGTATTCAGAATTCAATTCTCACCCTCTGAAGTATCAGAAAAAGATACTTTCTAGTCTATGACTGAATGTTGTAAAAAAGATCACTGTTCTTGATAACAGAACATTACATACCGCTTTATTCAAATAAAACATTTTGTAATATTTCATTTCTTGTCTTCTCTGTATACATTTAATGTTTAGTTTTAATTTCTCCTCGTTGTGTACTTTCACAACGCTGACTGTTAGGTTCAAAGGACAAAGCCAACATCAATGATTCAAAGGTAACGGAGATGGGGGCACCCAGTTGCAGGATAGAAAAGTGTGGATTTTTACATTTAATTTTATTTCTTTTTTCGCCATAAACCTAATCATAAAAAAACCCACGAAATAACTTTTTATCTATTCACCCAGCTAACACTCTGGAGGTGACCTGGTTGAAATATGCTCCGTGATACGCTCTAATAAAACCTGCGTTGGATAATAGAGACTCTGTAAATAAATGTGGGTGTTGTGTTAGTATTTCGGAGAGAATGCCAACTCAAAAATGTTTAACCAAAGAGCACTCCAGGCACACTCATGTTAATGGTCTTGTGAAGGTTAAATGGGGTGAAATTCATGAAATTTGAGCAGCAGCTCTGCTGCAGTGTACAATTTTAATTAGGTACAGATAAGCACTTACATTTGTATCTCCCGTACCAGTGGGTTCTTACCTCTGACTTTATTACATGATAACTCCTGATCCTTTTTTCCAAGAATTGCCTGGAGGCCCTTTTTATTTATTTTGCTTTTTTATTTTATTTTTTTAATATATAATTCTTTATTTTTGTTGTGCATAAGGGTAACAGAGATTACATTTGTAAATACATCCGCACATTATAAAAAAGGAAATAAAGTGAGCTAAGCATGGTGCAGAGTAATGTAGTCAGACGTAGCATACAGGCTATGTGCATCATCATTGGTCTATATAAGTAAGCAGTAGTAGAGTTAGAGATAAGATGATAGGTAAACACTGTTAGACATGTAATAGTGATTCCATTAGGAGGCCCCCTAAGTGGAAGAGTAAGAGAGGTGAGTGATAGATACAATTCACACAAAAATAGAGAGAAACGAAATAATCAATAAAAAGATAACATACAATTTATTGATGATAAATCAAATTAGGCAATAGCACAAAACGTGAAAATATCGCAATAAATAAGCCAAAATAGGCAAAAAAAAAAAGACCCTTAGGGATAGCAGCTTCATGTAACATGACACCACATGTAATAATAAAGTGCATGTGCTAAAGTGCAAAAAGATTGTAAAGTAAGGGAAAGTGCAAGGTGCTCAACAAGCTGCTGTAATTAGCAGCTAACATCCACTACTCCTTCACAGCATATAATACAAAAAGTGCACATGTTAAAAAGACTGCTTATACCAAATAACCGGGTTCTTGATAGGGCTCTACGTGTTTCATCGATCCGACTTCCTCAGGAGCTTCTGTCTTCTTCCTGGTCTTCTTTCTTTTAAATCTGCTGGTTCGTACATCTAATTGTTACCGCGCATGTGCAAAGCACGTCGGACGCATCGTCATACTTCATGACGTGCGAGCAGCTAATATGCGCTTGCACAGCTACGCTGGAACGCAACTAAACTTTATTGATAATCTACACAGCCGCATTCTGAACCTCTCAAATCGAAAACGTTCAAGTTCTTAGCGGTCTGTGTTTACAATCCTGCCTAATCATAACTAAATTCTAATAGAAAACAATAGATTAAATACTGCACCAGTAAACGAAATGACAATTCGGAATCAATCTAAAAAATACAAATAACAAAACATAGTGCACAGTGTGTGTGTGTGTGTGTGTGTGTATATATATATAATGATAGACTCCTTATGTAGAGTAAAACTCACAGGATTTAGAGCCGTCCCAGGCTCTATATAATAGGCAGGTGGGTGCCTAAAAAGGCTAAAACAATATCCTTGAGGAGAGCAGCACAGGATACAAAGTGCAGAATCCAAAATTTATTAAACAAATACACAATTAAAACAGGGACAATAAGCAGTGTATAAATAGTAAAATATACTAGGCACAAAGCCTAAATAAAACACTGCAGAGTAAATAAGAAAAAGTCACAGATACAATACTTTGGTTTAGCAGCAAACGCGTTTCAACTCCAGCTGGAGTCTTCCTCAGTGCTGTGGAAGGTTCAGTGGTGGGCTTAACAACATATGGCCATATGGTGGTACCAAATCCCCATATTTATTCTTAGGCATTTTAGTAGTCTTCTTTGTGTTATATTTTTTGTAGTCTGAGTGTGCCGCAACTATTTATTCTCTCATTTATGAAGTTTGGTCACTACGGCAGCACCTTTCATGCAAAATGCAGGTCTCGGGTGTGCCCCCAATCCTTTCTCTGTACACATTATATTTGGAATCCAGACCAGATTCCTTTGGGGTTAAGCACCCCGCCCAGGCCCCCCCCCGCTTCAGAGGCTCCTTTAGAGGTGGCCACAGGTGTGTATATATAGGAGGAGTTTTTCAATAGTCAGGTTACTTTTATTATTTTCTCCAGTCAGCACAGATATCATCTGCAATAGTGAGTATACTCATCTTAGCACCAACACGTTAATTGTTCAGTTTTAACACTGTTTTTAATTGCTTTCATCACTTATTTTTGTATACTCACTATGCTCTTACCAGGATTTAATTTAACACCTTTTATTTTTAACACTAGTACTATTTAATTTGTCCCCCACATTTATTGGGGTACTTTGAAAGTAGTGGTGGGCTTAACAACATATGGCCATATGGTGGAACCAAATCCCAATATTTATTCTTAGATAGGCATTTTAGTAGCCTTCTTTGTGTTATATTTTTTGTAGTCTGAGTGCGCCACAACTATTTATTCTCTCATTTATGAAGTTTGGTCACTGCAGCAGCAGCTTTCATGCAAAATGCAGGTCTCGTGTGTGCCCCCAATCATTTCTCTGTACATATTGTTAACAAGGGGCGCTCGTCATCCCTGACCGATTCATGAGGAAGTTGACATGGCTAGCTGCTAAACACAATTTTTTCTTGATATGTGCACATGTTCCTGGAGTTCTGAATGTCGCAGTTGATCATTAGTCTCGATCTTTATTTCAGGAGTTCCGGGCAGCATTGCCAACAGCAGCCCAGGTTGCTACCCCGGCACCACAGTGGCAGGAACTGGTCATGGACTAGATAATCTACTAGCTCAGGGGCATTACCTCTCACCTCTAGGTCTTTCCACTAACATAAGGAAATCTTATGATAGGGCTTTTCATATTTTCAATAGATTTTTGCTCGAGTTCCACATTATAGATAAATTCTCTATGGATGCTGTGGTTGCGTTTATTTCCTTTTGCCACCTTCACCTAAAGCTATCCTTCAACACTATTAAATTATACCTTATCGGTATTCAACATCATATCCTCACCACATGACCTAATAAACAACGGTTCCTTTCATCCTACCAGGTTAAAGACTCCACACCTATACCTACACCTTCTAGACTTCCAATCCATGATCACTTTCAGACCTTCTAGATGCCTCACCATTCGAAACCCAGACAAATCACGTCACTAAAACTGCCATTTATTTAGTGTTCTACGGTGTTCTCCGACCGAGAGAATTCACCACCACTAACTCTAACTCATCTGACTTTATCGCAAGAGCACATCTGGTGGAATCAGATGACCACTACGTACTTTCACTACACCATACAAAAATTTGCGGAAGGGGTCAGACAGTAAAAATTACATATTATCCCACAAGAAATCAATGATGCCCAGTTAAAGTTTTTGATCACTACCTTTCCTCCAGTCAAAGTTCAACGAACCAATCAAATCACTGCTTGCTTTACACGGGAATAAACTCACTACTAGTAGATTTATGCTTTATGTTAGAATGTTATTGGTATGGTTAGGTGTTAACCCAGCAAATTACTCTGATCATTCGTTTCGTATAGGAGCCGCTACCACGACTTCCAAGATAAATATTCTGGTACATATTATCAAGACATTAGGTCGGTGGAAGTCCGCTGCCTACACTAGATACATACCTCAACCTGTACAAGAAGTACGTCTAGCATTCCGAAACATGATTATGTCATGTAGCTATGTTGTATTTGTAGGCTGAATACATTTTGTTATGATGTCTCTTTTTGTCCTCTTTTATTTCAGGCCTACCGCATCAACTGTTCCAGCACACCACAACCAACTTTGCCTCATCCCTGTATGTTTTATACCTCTAGTTCTATGTCTTTTGATGCCCTGAACACAAATGGAAGGCTGGGCCTGTAGTTGTGGGAGGGGATTGGTTTTCCTTCTTAAGGAACGTCAGTCCCCTCTTCACTACTGTCTCAGGTCTGGTGATTTGCTCCACCCATCACTTCCCTCTTTCTAGCATTTATATAAGGTAGGCCCTCTTTTATTTCAGGCCTACTGCATCGTTGGTTCAGGCACACCACAACCGACTTTACCTCATCCCTGTATGTTTTATACCTGTAGCTCTGTGCCTTTTGATGCCCTGAACACAAATAAATGTATGTATGTGTATTTACAGTTGTAAGTGTGTATGTGTACTTACTTTCTACATATATAATTTACTTTTGTCTTGCCCTGCATGCTAAAGCTAGTTGTCCCCAGTCCCATTCAACATTGTTGGCTTGTTAACTTAAATGTTATTCACCTATCTGCATATCTCTAAAGACTTTCTCTGTTATTTATGCACCCCCCCACCCCCTTATTTTATTGATTGCTTGACCAATCCAATGTGTGAATGTGTATGATGTGTGTGGGGGCAGTGTGGGAATGTGTATGGTGTGTGTGTATGGGGGGCAGATTGTGTATGGGGGCTATGTGTGTGGCAGTGTGTGTAGGGGGGAGGCAGTGTCTGAATGTGGGGTGAGGAGGGTAGTGGGCTTTTTTATAAATAATAATAAAAAAAAAAGTATGTCCCCCCTCTCTTCTTACCTTTACTGAGGGAGGAGGGAAGACATTTCTCAATCCGTGGTGGTCGCAGTGGTGAGAGTGAAATCTAGCCCGTAGCTCCAGGGCTAGAGTTCACTCTCACGAGATTTGGTGCGTTGCCGTGTTAACCACGGCAACGCTCCGTGCCCGCGAGAGTAGGACCTGGAGGAGCTGCAGACTGAGCTCCCGGGTCCTTTCTCCCTCATTCCCCTGTCGGCTGCCAGCATTGTGCCTGCGGACCGGGGAGGGAGATCTCTGATCTCCCCTCCGGTCTGTGAAGGCACATAGCAGGGCTGGCAGGGGAGAACCTCGGTGGGGGGCAATTGCCCCGTTGCCCCCCCTGGATTCGCCAGTGCTATCTCTCCTCCTACTTCTAGCAGCTGATGACGTCTCCCCCAACCCAGGGTCCTTTACCTCATCTGCTCACACTAAAACAACTAGAAACCACACAAACCTCATTCAAATATTCCCCTACCAACATTCAGTGTGCACTCTGGAACACCCATTCCATCTGTAGCAATATTAAATCAACAGCCATACATGACCTCTTCATCTCTAATTCCCTCACACTACTAGCACTCACTGAGACCTGGCATTCCCCCTCTGATACCGTTACTCTGGCTTCTTTATGTTTAGGTGGACTACAATTCTCCCCTCAATCTACCTTTCAACCTATCCTCCGTGCCCTATCCTTCACTTCCTTTGAAGTTCACACTGTCCTCATATTTAGGCCCACTCCTTTAAGAATTGCCATCATTGCCACCCCTGGTTCATTGAACACTTTTCATAATCTGCTAGCACTGTATGCCATCACCTCGGAAGCGTATAGGAGAAAGTTTCAGGGGTTGAGAAAAGGGAATCGAGACTCATATACTGAATGGGCTTTTTGGATGTACAGGGCGGCTTAAAACTAGATGCAGGGCTGCCAAGCCACGGAGGATATGGTGCTACTGCTATTGTTAGAGCAATTTTTAGAACATACGCCGATGGAAACCCAGGACTGAGTGAGGGATAGGAAGCCGAATACAGTGGAGGAGGCAGCACGTTTGGCGAATGAATACCACAATGGGAGAAAGGTAGAACTGAGTGGAGGGCGAACTACGTTTAAGCCCTTTGTTCCAGTGCAAGAACCTATGCCACCACCAAGACCTATCCCTTACACATCGGTACTCCCACCCAACTCCATCCAGCACCAAACGTCCCTTTGTCACAACTGCCAACAACCAGGACACGACAAGATGCACTGCCCTCAGAGGAACCAAGAGAGCTGGGAGAGATCAACATCCCAAACAGCCCACGCTGCTGCACACTCCTTTCACCAAGAGGCATTCGAGACACAAGCACAATGAAGAACAATGGATAATGCTCCACGAGGTCAACCTAATACAAGCAGCAGGTGACAATCGAAGTGCACTATCGACAGTGGGTTACCGTGGACGGGCACGATGCCCGAGCATTAAGGGACACCGGCGCCACTCTCACCCTGGTGCAACCCCATAAAGTTTCATCCAGAGCTCACACCAACAGGACTGTGGCGGTCAGAGTAGCAGGAGGTGCCATTTATAAACTACCCACTTCTTGGGTACACCTCAACCGGGGTACTGGCGCCAAACAATTGGAAGTGGGTATCATTCATGGACTACCCATAGAGGTGTTGTTTTGGAATGATCTGGGTTGTCTGACCTCTCAGCTTTTCTAAACCTGATGCAAAGGAGATGTACCCCGTGACAACTCATTCACAAGCCCGCCGGGGGGAGCCAGCACATTCCGAGGAACCACAGGTAGCACCCCTCTTTCCATCCTTACCCAATATTCCCACCCAATTCTGGGGTACCCCCCAGGGTTTTGAGCAGGATCAAAAAGTAGATCCCGCACTAGAAGGTTACAGAAAGGAGGCAGCGTCCCCCCAAGGATATTTCCCAAGAGAGGTTTACGTGAGAAAAGGGGCTGCTATACAGGGTGAGAGGGGGTGTTGGGAGTGGGGCTGAACTACTTAAACACAGTCACCACATACCCTTAGCAGGACATCTGAGTGTTCAGAAGACCAAGGACCGGCTCACCCAGAAGTTCCTTTGGCCAGGGGTCACTAAAGACCTACAGGAGTATTGCAGAACATGTGACACCTGCCAAAGGATAGGAAAAAGGGGTGACCTAAAGCCAAATTGCGCTAGTTGCCAATAATAGAGGAACCATTCCATAGGCCCCCTTAGCAAACCTAGTACCTCGGGAAAGAGCTACATCCTCACGGTGGTGGACTATGCCACTAGGTATCCGGAGGCTGTAGCCCTTTCCAATATTGAGGCAGAAACCGTGGCCGAGGCCCTAGTAAAAATTTTCTCTAGAGTAGGTTTTCCCTGGGAGATCCTGTCTGACCAGGGGACCTAGTTCACCGCAGCTGTGACAACAGTTATGGCAGAGCTGCGGAGTCAAGCCCCTGCTCAGCTCTCCCTACTATCCCCCAAACCAACGACCTCTGTGAACGTTTTAACAGCGCCCTCAAACAGATGCTTAAGGCATTCAAAGAGAAGTGCCTCAAGGGTCCAACAGGTTCTCCCCCTTCGAACTTCTTTACTGGAAAAAAGTACGGGCACCCCTGGATCTTGTACGGGAGCACTGGGAGGGCAATACAGGAGAAGCAGGGATATCTATCGTGCCATACGTACTGGAGTTTATGGACTGGTTCACGTGAACATGCTAAAACCCTATTTTGAACGGGTAGAGGACGTGGTGAAGTCAGCCTTCGTCACCCCATTCGGGCTATACCAGTTTCGGGTTATGCCATTTGGGATGAAGAATGCCCCAGCTGCGTTCCAACTGGACTTTGCATGTGCCTACTTAGACGATATTGCCATCTACAATAGCACATGGAAGGACCACCAGAAGCACTTGGCTACTGTTTTCCAGAAAATTCAGGCGTCTGGGCTTACCCTAAAGCCAGAGAAGTGTCATGTAGGCACGGCCAAGGTTCTGTATCTCGTCCAAAGAGTAGGATCAGGGAAACAGCGACCTGAGCCAGCCAAAGTGGAAGCAATTGCACACTGGCCCCAACCGAGAACTAAAACCCAAGTATTAGCTTTCCTGGGAACCGCAGGTTATTACAGAAAAATTTGTCCCTGAGTATAGCGCCCTGGCTAAACTCCTCACCAACTTGACTAAGAAGTCACTTCCCAGACAGGTAGCCTGGTCCCTGGAGTGTGTGGCAGCTTTCCAGAAACTTAAAACAGCGCTGAGCGAGGCACCTGTGTTGGCAGTTCCAGACCATACTAAAAAGTTTCTTGTCCATACAGATGCCTCCATGTTTGGGCTGGGAGTCGTGCTAAGTCAAGTGGGGGACGACGGGATGGAGCACACAGTGGCATATCTCAGCCGTAAACTATTACCCAGAGAGGTCAGCTATGCCATGTGGAGAAGGAATGTCCGGCTCTTATATAGGCATTAATGAAACTACAACCCTACCTGTACGGCCGTTCCTTTACCCTAATGACAGATCACAATTCCCTCATCTGATTAAACAGGGTCGCTGGAGACAATCCCCATTTGCTGCGCTGGAACCTGGCCTTGCAACCCTACAATTTCACCATGCAGTACCGGTCAGGCAAACAAAACAGCAATGCAGATGGTTTATCCCAGCAAACGGAGATGGAACCTTAGCTGATTTCCCCGGACATCCCCCAAGCCAACCCGGCAGGATGTAGGCTGGTATGCCAACCAATGGAACTAAGGGGGAGCAAAGTGATGAAACTACCCTGTTTATTTGGTACTTTGACTTTTTTCTGTTCGGTAGTTGAAACTACCGGACACCCCCCTGGCTCATTAACTTCAAAGAGAGCAGTGAATTAAGTGCTCTCCCTGTGTGACCGCCATTCGTATAGTCGAACGCCACGGCTGCCATTTTGTTCGCATGAAAGGAGGCAGCGGAACTTGATCATCGAGTATCTGGAACTAAAATCGGATAACAACACATGAAAAGGACTTGGGAATTGTTATAGACAACAAACTATGCAACAATGTGCAATGTCAATCAGCAGTGGCCAAGGCCAGTAAGGTATTGTCATGCATGAAAAAGGGCATTCATTCTCGGGACAAGAATATAATTTTGCCTCTTTATAAATCACTGGTAAGACCCCATATTGAATATGCTGTGCAATTTTGGGCACCTGTTCTAAAGAAGGATATTATGGCACTAGAAAAAGTGCAGAGGCGGGCTACAAAATTAATAAAAGGAATGGAAC